GTGTTCAGGATGTGCTACACCACTGAGCTGCACCCCAGCCTACAACACCCCAGCCTACAACAGCTCAGAGCACTTCACTGTTTCCTGTACTGAGGTCTCAGTTACTTTTATGATGAACATCTGATATTTTTCCAGAATATTCTGTGAGAAGCAAAATTTTGCATCTGTGAAACTCTAAAATATTTGAACCTCACATTATTAATAGATTAATAGATTATTAATAGAATTCTGAATTTGAAGTTTTCTTTCTTAAAGATTTTTCTCTTATTTATATGAGTGTTTTGGCTACATGTAAGTACACTACTGTGTGCAGTGCCCTTAAAGGCCAGAAAGGCACATTGGATCCCCTGGAGTTACAGACAGTTGTAAGCTGCCATGTGGGTGCTGGGAACTGAATCTGGGTCCTCTGAAAGAATTGCAAGTGTTCTTAACCACTGAGCCTTCTTTTCATAGTAGTACTTGAATGATACTTATGATGTTAACTTTGACTGCCAACTAGAAGGGATACACGTCTCTTCTCCCCCTTCCCCCTTTCTTTTCTTTTGGCTTTTTGAGACAGGGTTTCTCATTGGAGCCTGTTCTGGAACTCGCTCTGTAGACTGGCCTGGAACTCAGAGACCTGCCTGCCTCTGAGTGCTGGGATTAAAGGTACCACTACCACCTGCCTAGGGGATACACATCTCTAGGTATGCCTGTGAGGGATTTTTGTAAATATAAGATTAGCTGAGGTGGGGAGACCTGCCCTAAATGTGGTATCACCGCTGCATGGGCTGGAGTCCAGGACTGAATAAAAGGAAGAAAGGAGTTGAACAGCAATATTCATCTCTGCCTCCCACCTGGGGATGCAGTGTGACAGCTGCCTCTAGCTTCTGCCCCCAGGATGGACTAAAGCTCTTGGGCTGTAAAGCCAGAATAGACCCTTCCTTCCTGAACTTGTTTTTGTCAGGTAGTAATTATACAGTGTTGCTTAATTTGTTCCTGCATTCACTTTGTGGGTAATTATTTTTCTTACTGGAGATTTTCAGTTACGTTTTTTGTACAGTGAAGTCACTTTCATGTAGGGTTGACAAACTATATGATGAGCCAAATCTGTCTTCACACCTGTTGTGGTACAGTTTGTGAGCTAAGAATACTTTTACCTTTTTAAATTTCAAAGAAAGATCACAGGAATATTTTGTGATATAAAACACTATGCAATTAGTACCTCTGGGTTTATTGTTCTATTGGAATACAATGAAAAACATTTGCTTATATATTATCTGCATCTACTATACAGTTGAAACAGGACCTATAAGCCCTGAAATATTTGTAACTGGGTAGAAAAACAAAACAAAACTGGTTCTTGCTCCCATGCATCCTTTTGTTGTTTCAATAGCTAAAATTCTAGAAAATATTCCTGTTGTTTGTTAGAGGTGTTTTAAAACCCCAGAATTTCAATAAAAATTACAAATAATGTTTTCAACTGTGTTCATTCCACTCGGTGTCATGCTGTAGTTTTCATTACAAACATTTTTTTTTTTTCGTGTGTCTATGAGATAGCTCACTGCTAAAAGAGTGCACTTGCAACTTGGTCTACCTTAATTTGATCCTTGGAACCCACAAGTGGCAAGATTCTATGTCTGAAAGTTGACCTTTGATCTCTGGATGTACACCACAGCATATGAACCTTTACAGATATGTCCCCCCCCCACCATAAAACAAATTTCTCCATTTCTAAAACACTAGCTGTAGTCTTTTAAGAGCACTTTTTTTTTTTTTTTTTTTTTTTTTTGAGTCATGCATGGTTTCTCTGTGTAATAGCCCTAGTTGTCCTAGAACTAGCTTTATAGACCAGGCTGGCCTCGAAATCAGAGATCCACCTGGCTTTGCCTTGGAGTGCTGGAATAAAGGCATGTGCCATAATCACTCAGCCAAGATCATATATTTTCATTCCTCTGAGCACTCATTTTGATTTCCTGTTCTGATTTCTGAATTGACTTCTTCCAATAGTGAAAGCCTTCACATTTGTATTTTATTGGGATTTCTCAACGGTCTGGCATTTGTTCACTAATCTTTGTAGCTGGGAAGAGACTGCTGCCTCCGTCTTACTGGTTGCTTAGGAAGGGGAAAGTGGGTTGGGAAGATGGTCTGGTATGCTTTGTGCTGCTGTGTCTTTCAGTGGCTGTCCTTTCTCTTTGCGTTTGTCTTTCTTTTAGGGGCAAGGTGGGTATATGGAACTGGACCTATGTGAATGCTGTTTCTGGTGTCTTCCTTGTTGTAAGTTTTAGTCAAATTCAGGTAGAGATCACTACTAAGTGTTGTAACAGTTACCCCCTTGTGGTCTGTTACAAAGAGCTTCCGTTGCTGGCTCCTTTGCTCTGCTCCTGTTCTCTCTCCTTCTAGTGGTCCACCTAAAGCTTCTCTTTCTTCAGGTGATTCTCCATTGTCAGAGTCTTGCTGTGTATCCCAGGCTGCCCCCAACTCATGATCTAGCTGTTTGGTCTCTTGGATGCTGGGGTCACAGGCATGAGCCACCGCTACCTATAACTCTTATTTACATGGTGTGGGAGCTGAAAATTGCAGCATACAGCCAGTCTACTTTGTTTGTTGAGATTGCTTTGTAACCTATCCTGGAACTTGCTCTGTTGACCAGACTGGCCTGGAACTCACAGAGATACACCTGCCTCGGCCTCTCGAGTGCTGGGATTAAGTCTAATAATATCATCAAGACAGCTTTTTAAAAGAGTCTTTAAATTATTCTAAAATACTGCTGTTTTTTGGTGGTGGTCATTATTCCATAACTGAATCATTTAAAGCTGCTTTGGTAAGGAACTTTACCCATTTTACATTCATTGATCTAAAAACATTTGCCTCGTTTATGTCATCATTAGTTTATGCTATATGGCCTATGCTTTAGTGTATGCTTCGTGACTGAATAAAAATATTTTGAATTTTCTCCACTGTTCTAGGAATTTATTTTAATTAACATCTAACTCTCTTTCTAGTTTGACTTATACATTTTCTTCTGTGTCTCCTTTAAGTTGTTATTGCTAATATTTAAACAAAAATTTCCTCTCTTTATTTTTCTTCAGTGTATTTTCCCAGCAGACTGTATTTATCTTTCTAGGTCAGTGGTTCTCAACCTTCCTAATGCTTTGGCTTTCATGCTGTAGTGACTCCCAACCATAAATTTTGTTGTTTTTATTGTTAAGTAATAACTGTAACTTTGCTAGTTATGAATCATAATGTAAATATATGTGTTTTCTGATATCTTTAGGAGAGCACTGAGCCCTGTGAAAGGGTGGTTTGACCCCAAAAGGGGCCACTACCCACAGGTTTAGAACCACTAATCTACTTGGTTATGCTTGTTTTTATATTGAAATTGGCTGAATTCTTATTATTTGTTATTTTCTTCCATTACGGTATGACAAATGGAGGCAAGGCTTACTTTTCCCACCCCTATCTTCTGATTTGTATTTTTTTAATTAATTAAAATGCTTATTTTATTATTTTGTGTATATGGGTGTTTATCTTTGTGGGAGGCCAGAAAGAGTGAGATCCCCTGAAAATGGAGTTACACACAGTGGTAAGCAAGCATGTTGATGCTGGGGATGTAACCTAGGTCATGTGTAAGAGCAGCAAGTGCTTATAATCTACAGTTTTAAAAAGGGGGATTGGTGATGATATACTCTACACCTTCAAAAGATATAGTTAAGATTCCATGGGCAAGGTATAGTGACACAGGGTCATAATCCCAGTACTGGAGAGGTTCAGGGAGGATCAACAAGTTCAAGGACACCCCCCCCCCCAATTATGGGGAGGGAATGGTACAGCTCTGGAGGACTGTTTCGCACTACCTACTGGACTGGATATTTATGTTTACCCTTCCTTTCTCTCTGTGCTCCAGGAGGCTGACCTGATGGACCACATCAGGAAGCTCCCTGGTCTTCTGGAGCTTGAGGGGTCAAGATGACTCACCAGGTTGCTGACGATATGAAGAGGGCTGGATGTGTGCTTCTAGTAGCTGGCTTTCTGGTGAGTTGCCTAAGATTGCAAAATTCTAAATCCTACCAGGTGCCCTTTTCACACAGCTACTTTTTTGGCTCTTGTTTCATGTCCTTGTCCCTTTAGGCTAAGACATGGGAATGCTTCCCCCACTGCTGCTCAATATGAGGGTCTGCATCCATCGTTGCTTGGCTTCTTTAAACCCTTTTATGTCGTTTTAGACTCTTTACAACTACCTAGTTTGGATATGCTTATCTGCTTGCTGTGTTCTAGGAATTCATCTTATAGATTAAATGCCATATATATTGGATGCTTTGTCAAACACCATAATCTGTAACAGTGGAATGTTAAAAATATAATAACAGTAGAAAAGTATAAAGTAATGGTCCAACTATACAGTGGAATATTACAAAACTATAAAAATGTGAGCCATTAGGTGCTGAGAAGATGGCATTTTTCCTGCAAGTATGCGGACCTGTGTTCAGAGCTCCACAACTCACACACATTAGATTTAGTGCAGCATGTCTGTATTCCAACAAAGACTAAGGAAAAATTAGAATTTCTAAAGTCACAAAAGATAATGAAAAAGCCAACAAATGGTACAATTGATGAAATGTCCCAAGTAGTACAATTTTTGGACAGCTTTCTTTCCTAGCATGATCCATTCATGGAATTTTCCTTTGACTATTTCTGATAAAGGTTCACTTAACACATGGTCCATTTATTTCTTAGAGGAGGTTCGGTTCTGTAGCCCCTTCTTAACCAAGCTGACTGTTACAGAGTTGTGATTAGTCATCTTGGATTCCATGAAAGGTGTGACTTATTAAAGGAAATGGGACATGAGACCATCAGGAAATCAGTGAGGAACGCAGAGAAAACTGCTGGAAATGTGCTTATCCAAGCTGAGATAGCTAAACCAGACATACTTCTTTTACGTTAGTCAAAAGTGGATTAGTTTAGTATTCTGACATGGGCAGCCCTGCTAACATCCTGTAACATCCAGGAGATGCACTCACCCTTCCTGGAACTGCACTTGTGCGGACTCCTCTGTGACAAGAGCCTCATACTCTTCAGCTGCAAACCTGTCCCAGTCAGAGGGCTCAGGGCCATCATTTTCAGCATCCTGATTAAAAGGAGGGAAATTAGAATAAAGACACAAATTGGAGGTAGGGCATCATAAATGTATATTGCTGGAAGACCTATCTAAAATTTCCAACATATTAAAATAGGGGCTAAGGCACCTACATCTACACCTGACATTACAAAATTATGTGTACTAAGCAGCTTACATTATTTTCGTCATATTTTTCTCTTAAAAAAAAAAAAAAAAAACGAGTGTTTAACTGCATGTACATATGTGTACCAAGTGTAGGTAGTATCTGCAGAGGTCAGAAGGGGGCACTAGATCCTCTGAAACTGGAGTTAAGACAGTTGTGAGTCACCATATGGGTGCTTGGGAACTGAAGCACAAGTCTTCAAAAAAAAAAAAAATATCACTTGTGTTTTGTGTGTGTACGTGTACATAACCTAAGTAGGTGTGTGTGTCATTGAGGTCAGGGGACAACTTTATGGAGTCTGTTCTTGCCTTCCACTCAGGGTTTACTGATGGTCTAACAGCTGTGTGCCCCCGGCAAAGGAGTTTATCTCTACCCTCATGCAATACAACATTTAGGATTTGAAAAAGTGTTAAATTGCTGGGTGGTGGTGGTTTAAGCCTTTAATCCCAGCACTCAGGAGGCAGAAGCAGGAAGATCTCTGTGAGTTCGAGGCCAGCCTGATCTACAAAGCTACACAGAAAAACCTGGTCTAGGGGGAGGAGAAGGGGGCTAGGAAAGAAAGAAAAGGTGTTAAATGATCTGAAGCTGTCCATTATGGAGAAGTTCTGGTGTCACTTAGAAGGGTAAAGCTATTTACCACACTATCTTGGAAGTGCATATAGCACAATCAAATCAAGGTCAGTGTAGCTTGTAAGATGTGTTACTGACACATTTTTCAAAACTACCTTTTGCAACTAGTTGCTAATATGTATACAATTACGTGTAGCAAGGACTTAGAACTGGAGATTACCTGACCTGCATATTGGCTGTGGTGAGATGTGTGTGTAGTATTTATTTGTGAATTTATTTTGAGACAGGGTCTCTGTATGTAGCGCTGGCTGTCCTTCATGCTGGGCTTGAACTCACAGATGCCCATCTGTCTCCAAGATGGCATGCACCACCACTCCCAGGTCTTAAATCTTTATATTGATTCTCATTTCTTTTTGTTTGTTTTTTTGTATTCTCCATCTGTCCCTCTCCATCCCTTTTCCCCTCCCCCTCCTTCACAGACTTCATTGTCTCTTATATTCATATTTGATGAAATATTCCAGATGCTATCTCTTTAAATACAGAGGCCCTACATGCACAGACCGTCTAATATGCAGCATACAGCCTTTGGTATTTCAGCTCTGAGAGTTCAATTTCAGTGTATACCATTACCTTCTGTACTGCAAAAGGATCTCTTTGTTCATGGTCCAAGTATTTCTCCAGGTTAAAGAAAGTGTCATAGAAGATATGAGCCATTCTGCACCTCTTCAGATCTCGTAGAGTTATTTTGCCTATGGAAAAACAAATGTGCCCTGTAAATTTCACTGATAGATCTTTTGACAAACAAAAAAAACTATAAAAACTGAACTGGTGTTGAAAAGTGTATATGTATGTTTATTTTATTATAAATCACATTTAAAAAATCAAGGTGAATAATTTTTAACTTGTACTTGCCAGTGGCTTTTAAGCAAGCTCATGGTGTTGTACAGCCATCAACTCCATGACATCATGCTCCCCTCCCCCCAGCAAAGAACTGTATCCATCAAGAAGTCCTCCCCAGCTCTCTTGGCCTTCACAGTTCTGAGTCACAGAGCTTTCTTTATAGAGCCTTCTATTTTCCTTCCTTCCTTCCTTCCTTCCTTCCTTCCTTCCTTCTTTCTTTTTTGAGACAGGGTAACCATGGCTGTCTTAGGATTCACTCTGTAGACCAGTCTGGCCTCAAAAGTTCTACTTCTTTCTTTCTTTTTTTTTTTTTTTTCGAGACAGGGTTTCTCTGTATTGTTTTGAAGCCTGTCCTGGAACTCACTCTGTAGATCAGGCTGGCCTTGAACTCACAGCGATCCGACTGCCTCTGCCTCCTGAGTGGTGGGATTAAAAGTGTGAGCCACCAATGCCGGGCTGAAAGTTCTATTTCTTAAACAGTTGATTTGATACTTCTAGTCAAGGAGAGAGAAACTTTAAATTCTTCTGTACTTGGGAACTCTGGAAAACTAAATACATCCAGATAATACAGAACCCTGTGTTCACATTGTTTAAGTGCAAACAGTTCAGTCTTACCATCACTAGCTGGCTTCACCAGGTCAAGCATCTGGCACAACAGATCATGGAATGGCAAAGGCTCAATGCCCATGGCTTCCATTCGTTCACACTGCTCTTCGTAGAAGTACTCCAGCTCATACATGGAAAGTATACCGTCTCCATCCACATCCATGCAGCGGAACCAATACTCAATGCTAGGAGGTAAAAGATGCTCATTAGGATGTACCTGGTAGAGGTTATTTTTTCAAGTACTATTGCATGTTTCATTTTAAGTAAGTTTACATGTTAATTACAAATGATACCCTAGCTATAAAGGTTTGTTAGAAAAAAAAAAAAAAAAAAAAACAATGGAGGGCTGGTTTTGATGGCTCAGCCATTAAAGGTTAGGTTCACAACCAGAAATATAAGAAAAACAAAAAGAAGAAACTTCCTTCTGTTTTTAAATTCCTGAATCAGTCATTTCCAAAAGCCAATTATTTGCTTTTTATCTTGTATTTTCAGAGCACTAGTCCACATTTCTCTCAATTTTTCTGTTTCAGATTTGTTTATTGATTTTATACAACAAATGAGATTATCACTTTCATTCACTTAATAAGTGAAACTGTTCATTATTCTGAATTAATAATAGCATATTCCTTTTAACTCTGCTCTGTTTCCTGTGTACTTGCCCTCAAATCTCTACTAGTTGTTTAGATTCACATTCAATCACATCAGCTATTCTATCAATTGAATTTTCTTGAAATAGTCTTTGCTTCCTTCTGACTTATTTTCCTATGATCTGTTTGGTCTCTATGCCTGGTTGACAATTTCATCTTGAAGTTCCTTTTACTACTGTGTCTCTGGGACTCACATTGCCCTTGTCCTTTGACATGCACATTATCTAGAAGTCTCCTACAGAGGAGAGCTGTGGCAGGTAAACTGTTCTGTGTATCTTTGTGTGCATGTGCATGTGGAAGCCAGAGGTCAGCACTGGGTGTCTTCCTCAGTGTTTATCCCTTTTTGAGACGGGGCCTCAACTAGACAGGCTGTGCTAGTTGACTAGTGAGCCCCAAGATCTACCTACTTGTCTCTACCTCTTCAGCACTGGGATTACAAATGTGTGCTACGCCTGGTTTTTTAAACAAACAAAACATGAATTCTGAGGATCAAACTTAGGTCTTCATTCTTGCATGGCAAGCAATTTACCGACTGAAGCATCTCTCCAGCCCATAATATTTTTTGATCTTGCATTATTTTTTCCCCTCAAAAATTTGTATTTATTTCTTTTAAATAAGTTATTAATATGTAATCTGAGGTGGCTTGTAGCTCCTGGACTCACATGATTCTGCTCTGCTCGAGTAACTGGACAGAAGGATATGGCAGCCTCCTAGTTCAGATCTTGGATATGGAAAATTCCTTTTCCTAACCTCTAATGTGGTATTTTGGCTAATTCCAGAATTAAATATTGGTAGTGCTTTTCCTTCAGATTTTTATCTTTGTTTTACCTTACTTCAGGGGTTATCACTCTGTAACCCTGGTTAACCTGGAATCATGTAGATCAGATAGGCCTGGAAATCAGAGAGATCAGCCTGCCTCCCAAGAGTTGGGACTAAAGGTGTGCTCCACCACACCCTGCCTGCCTTCCTTCAGATTTTTTTCTCTTTGGCTTTTTGAGACACAGTTTCTCTGTGTACTCTGGCTGTCATGGAATTCACTCTTGTAGACCAGGCTGGCCTGAGCTCACAGAGATCTGCCTACCTCTGCCTCTCATGTGCTGGGATTAAAGATGTGTATATCACTATGCCAAGTTTACCTAATGCCATTGAAAACAAAAACAAAACCAAACAAAAAATTCTACCCCTTTTAACCTAGAAACTCTACATTTATATTCCTCAGAAAAACAGTAGACCTCTAAACTGTTCAATTATATCAAGTAGCTGGGTAGAATCAAAATATAAGCAGGGACAAACAGGAAATCGCTCTCTTTTCTTCATAGAAGCTGGGCAATCACCACATAGGCTGCCTGAGGAGTAACACCACGCTGGGCATAACTGGGTAATGGGTTAATAATTAAGGCAGAGCTAGCCAATAAGAAACACTAATCACCAGCCAACAGTTTCATAATTAATATAGCATCTGTGTGTTCATTTGGGGCTGAAGTGGCGGCGGGGCCTGGTGGGCCAGAAAGTTTATATTACAGAACCCTTAGAAAAAGCCGGGCGCCTGCTGTAATCCTAGTGCTGGCTATGGAGACAGGAGGGTCTTGGGAGTTTGAGAGTACCAAGGAAAGGGAATGATGATTTCACCTGGGAGCATGAGGCTGTGATCTTACATACTAGTCACAATTTGCTGCTGCTGGTTTTTTTTTTTTTGCATGTTCACATGCATGTATGTAGGTGAAAGTGCACATCTGTATAAGTAGTAAGAGGTCAGTGGTTGATGTCAGGCATCTTTCCCAAGTGTTCTCCAACTTGTTTACTGAGGGAGAGTCTCTCCTTACACACCAGTCTCACTGATTCAGCTAGTATAGCTAGCCAGCTTGCCCTGAAGATCCATTGTCTATCTCCTGAGCATTAGAATTACAGGTGGGACCCTCATAATGTTTTTGGCTTTTATGTAAGTGCTTGGGATCTGACCTCTGGTCCTCCAGCTTGCATGAATGGCTTTATCCACTGAGACATCTCTCTGGCTCCATAATTTGCTTTTTCTGCCTTCTTTACTATAGAACTAGTGCAGATTGAAAAAGAACTAACGTTTACAGAATCTTCTCCACACTCTATAAATACTCACCAACCCTATTTCTCTCTCCTGGAAAGAGTATGCTTAACTTTTCCTTTCTGTGGGTAACAGCTCTTCCCTTGGTACACCATGAGCATAGATTTATTCTGTCTCTCTTTTCCTAACTGAGCTCTGAGGACAGAGATGGTCTAACATACCTGCTATGGCTAGGTCAGGTCAATTTACTAGGCATATATACAGCATTTGTTTACATCTTGACAACAAAAACTTACCTGGTAGGGTTCCGTTTGTCTTCCTCAGAAATCAAAAACCAAACAAAATCTGCATAGCTCATTCTTCCCTCTTTTTGTACTGTTTTTCCTCTGAAGAAAACAGATGGTTATAAAATTTCCTGAGTTATTAAATAAAGTAACATCACTGTTTAGAAATGTACTAAATAAAGCTGGATAGTTCAGCAGAGTAACCCTTTGAGGCCTGCCTTCTTTCCTAAGGCCTACAAGGTGAAACTAGAAGGTATCTGCCTAAATGGAAAAAAAAAACCATGCTGCTTTTGTGGTACTAGAGTTTTGAATTTAAGCCTAACACAGGGCAAGCAAGTATTCTACCACTGAGCTACACCCTTATCCTTCTTTTTACTTTTAATTTATCATTTACTTAATTAATTAAGACAGGGTCTCAGTATGTAGTCCTTCTCTTTTTAATTTTTTTTTTTTTTTTTTTTTTTGAGACAGGGTTTCTCTGAAGCGTTTGAGCCCACCTGGAATGCACTCTATAGACCAAGCTGGCCTCGAACTCACAGAGATCCACTTGCCTAAATGCTGGAATTAAAGGTGTGCGCAACCACTACCAGGCTCAGTATGTAGCCTTTAGTGGCTAATTGTTATCTATGTTTAGACATTGTACTAATATTAAGGAATCACTGTTTTATGCTTTTTATGTATAATGTGATTTCGTAGTTCTTCTAAATTACCAGAAAGCTTTGCTAAAATGAGACTGCTGCAACAGTATAATTGATTTTGAAACTCAAATTGTTTTATTTCATTTTCTATTACTTATTGCTAGCCCACTAAATAAAATTCAAATTTTAAACTTTTTCATACCTTGTTACTGCTCCCGAAAATATTCTTTCAATAATTCTACTTGATGAAGCTAAATGTAAATAAGAATTACAGTTAGTTAGAATTATTCCTGACAAATTTGTTTTCATTTGCCAAAAGTAAATGTAAACCATACCAATCTTCCACAGTGAGAATGTCAATAGTTAGGTTCTTTTCTTTTTTTGAGCCAGGGTTTTATACATCCCAGGGTGAACTCTTATTTTGCTATATAATTGAGGATGGCCATGAACATATGACTTTCCTGCTTTTCCCACTGAGAGCTGCAGTTATAGATGTGCACCACTGTATACAGTTTATGTGGTGCTGGAAATCAAACCCAGGCCTGTATATGCTAGCCAAGCACTCTTATTAACTCAGCTACATCCCCAACCCCTATTTCGTTAAAACAAACAAAACCAAAAATTTATTCATTGAAAATTTCATACATTTATACAATTTATGTTGAGCCTATCCATCCACTGTTACCTCTCTGTAATGCTAAGTGTCCCTTAGTCTCTCTCTTTCCCTATTCCATGCCCCAATCCCTTTTGGCCATTAAACCCATGGGTCCATGTGCTTTTCATATGCATGTGTGTGGGGCTTCCATGGGGGCATGGGCAAAATACCCAGGGGAGATTGAGTCTTCTTCCCTCACTGATGATCAGCAACCGGAATCTCCTCAGTCAGGGGCCCCACCCCATTTGTGCAGGAATTTTGTCTGCCCAGATCCTAAATTTATACTTATGCATAATTCAGAAGAATGAGGTAAGTTTAAACTATCAATCACTAATTTTAAAAAAGAGGCAAATGAATGTATCTGGCATCTATTTAGTTATTATATAGTTGAGTTCTAAGTTAATTCTGAACATTCTGACAACTAAGACAAAAATATACAAAATTTGTATTGGTCTTGTTATTAAATAAAACAAAATAAATTTTCTAAAACAAGACATTTTATCCTAGCATTAAATTCAAGGGGAACTTGATTTTGCAGCTCCTAAAACAATGTAAAATAAAACAAATAAAATGATGAAGAATGCTTTAAAGCAGTTTTTAAAAAAGATAAACATACTTTACTTATATTCCCATTCTGTAAGAGTCTAAGATAATTTAACAGAAATTCCATCAATAAATTTTATTTATACACATAATGACTTTTTGTTGTTTTTGTTATTGGATCTACTGGGGGACTAAATCCAGGGCTTTGCACATGTTAGGCACACAACCTATCATTTAGCTACATAACAACTATATCTTCAGATAGTATATTTGTTTTTGGTCACAGACCCTAGAAAATGTATAGCACTATACTTTTATAGATTCAGAATAGCCAAAAGTAGAGAGAGAAAGAGAGAGAGAGAGAGAGAGAGAGAGAAAGAGAGAGAGAGAGAGAGGGAGGGAGGGAGGGGGGGGGACAGGGGAAGAAGGGAGGGTAGGGGATACAGGGAAGTGGAGGCAGGCAAGTCTCAGGGATCTCTAGACCTGTTCTTTTAACAAGTACCCTAGACAATGGAATGCACACTAAAATTTCAGAACTACCAATGAATTCAATAGAGGGTTAGCAGCTCCATCACCTATTCTTTTTAGAGTTAGGTATCACTGACATAAAGACAAGTCAATTTCTCTAGGAAAATTAGAAATACGTGTGTCAATCAGCTATGCCTGGCATATACAAAAGCCTCTACAATCTCTGTACTGTGTTGAACTTTGATTTAATGAATAAATGTTTTATAGTAGAGAGAAATACGAAGGCTATATAGAAACAGCAAAAACATTAAATTCTAATGCTAACATCTTTCAAGCCAATTTATTTTTACTTTCTATGTATGAGTGTTTTGCCTGCATGTATGTACATGCATCACATGGGTGCCTGGTGTCCATGGAGGTCAAAAGAGGACATCAAATTCCCTGGCACTGGAGTTACAGAAATTTGTGAGCTGCTTTGTAGGTGGCGGGAATGGAGCCCAGGTCTTCTGCAAGAGCAGTCAGCGCTCTTCACTGCTGAGCCAGCATTCCTGCCCCCCTTCCATCTTTTTAAAAAGGCTGTCTTAGCTTTGGAAAGTTTATTATCCTAAAACTAAAGACTGTGGTCTGAAGCAGAATTTGGTGAGTGGACAAAAATGCAGAGTTTAATGTCACCTTCACCATGCCATTAACATCAATCCAATCAGTACATACAGTATCTAGAAATGATGGCAAGAAGAAAGAAGGGCTTTAGAGCCAGCCCATGGATTGTGTAAGACCTCTGGAGTCTGGCTCACAAACATGGTTAACAGGAAGGTGCATAACTAAGGCTCATCTGAGACCCTTAGGAATATATTTGTGTATCTGATGACAGAAAGATTATTACTACTTGAAGGAGGAAGGCAACAACACTAACATATTTACCAAATAAGTACATTTGAGGATTTGCCTATGATTCCTGCTTGGCACCCAAGAATCTTGAGAGAGAACTCTGCTGGTTTCCCTACCCTCCCTGCTCAGATAGGGCCTATGCTACCCAGGCTAGCTTCCAAATACTGGAAATCCTCCTGCCTCAGATTCTTTAGTATCTCAGACTATAGGCCCTGGCTGCTGTGCTTGGCTCAAAAGCAAAACCAAACCAAACCAAACCAAACCAATCCTTCCTTTCCTCCCTCCTCCCTCCCTCTTTGTTTGAGACAGAGTTTCTCTGTAGCTTTGGAGCTTACTGGTAGAGATTTGCTAAGCATATATGAGGCCCTGGGTCCCATCACCAGCACAAATCAGTCCTTCATGAAGTGGGGCTTGTCACATACCAGTAGAGAAATACCAAATGACAAACAAAACTTAGCTCATTAAAGATTTGTTATCTGCTATCTCAATAAAGGATAAAGTCTGGTTTAAAAATTGCTGGGAAGACAGTTAAGGTCAGAATAAGGATAATCTTATGAGAGAAAAATGAATCAATATATCTTGACACTTGGTTAAGGGGCCAACAAGATGGCTCAGGGTGTAAAGGCATTTACCACTAACCTTATCTGAGTGTGATCCCTGCAGCGCACATGATGGAGGAGAGAACTAGCTCCCTCAAGTTGTCCTCTTACCTCCACATGAGCGATGTAGTGTGAGGATACCTGCACACACACATGCACACACACGCACACACCTTTGCACAATGCACACATACACACACGTGTGCACATATGCATGCACATGCACACACATATGCATTCATGCACATGTACACTCACACATACATGTACATACACATATGCACACATTCACACAATTTAAACTTTAAAAAATTAAAGAATTTTACAAATCAGAACTAAGTAAGTTCCAACTTTATAAAAAGGAAAATAAAAATCTAAGCCTAATAATGTGATATGTAAATTTTCTTTTTTACCTAAGGAAAATGATATTCATCTGTAGAGAAAATATCTTTCTGGAGTTAAAAGAATAAGCTTAAAAGCTAGATTTATTTTCACTCTCTGGGTGTGTCTGTGTGGGGGTACAAGCATGTGAGTTCACATGCCCTCAGAGAATCTCGGGAACCAGAGAGAGGAGGTTGTAAGCTGTGTGATGTGGGTGTTGGGAACCAAACTAAGATATTCTCTAGAACAGTAGCAAGTGCTTTTAGTCACTGAGCCATCTCTCTAGCACCACCATCCCTCTATAGGTAAATTTTCTTGATTTTTTGAAAATGAAATCTGAGGCAGGCCAGTTTGGTTTACACTGTGAGTTCCAGGCTAGCCAAGGGGGACATAGTGAGACCTATGGGGAATAAAAAAAAATTCATCTGTAGCTTTAATAGAAGTAATTGTTAAGTGAGAGTTTTAAAAACAGATTTGTATATGTATCTGATCATCATATTAATGATACCAATGGCTACAAAGACTTCCCATTTTTAAAATGGTGGTTATTTACCTCCAAATCCTCTGGTCTTCTATGTTTTAAAAGTTACCTTTGGCTAGGCGTGGTGGCACATACCTTTAATCCCAACCCCAAAGGGGCACAAGTAGGCAGCTCTCTCTGAGTTCAAGGCCAGCCTGGTTCCAGAGTAAACAAACAAACAAAATTTATCTTCATTCTCATTTGAAAAGTATTGGCCCTTTAAAAAGACTTATTAATAGAATTTAAGAAAGGGAATTTCTCATAACGACGGGAGACAATTTATGCAACTTTGAAAACAGGTTTAGTTTTAGCATTGATAGAATCACTCACCCTGGTCATTGTATCGAGAGAGATCAGCCTGGCTGATGTACAGGTCATGGTCACCATCTAGTTCCCAGAATTTACAATAAATGACATAGAAATGTTCATAAGAGAAGTAATCTGTGATTTGGTTTATATCTTCCTCTTCCTCCAAAAGGGCCAGAGTCTGAAATGGTATGAATAATACAATTAATTTTTAAATGATGCACAACTAATTGTGGCTATTATAGAATCTAGAAAATATCTATTTATTAATTAATTTTTTGCTTTTGGTACCAAACCTGGAATTTATGTGTATGTGTTTTCCCTTCCTTCTGTCTTTCCATCTCTTTCTTTCTCTCTTTTTTTTTTTTGAGAGTGGGTTTCTCTGTGGAGCCCTGGCTATCCTGGAACTTGCTTTATAGACCAGGATCGCCTCAAACTCACAGAGATCCACATGTCTTTGCCTCCTGAGTGTTGGGACTCAGCTGCCCAGCTGCCCAACCACCCAGCTGCCTTTTTGGGGAAGGGGGTCAGAAATAAATATAAATGGGCTAAATTTCCTTATTAAAATTTTGATCAAATATAAAAAAATCCCTCAAAACCTGTAAGTATATATATATTGTCCATAAGAGATATGTCTAATGGGGCTGGTGAGATGGTTCAGCAGGTAGGGATGCTTGCTGCTAAGCCTGATGAACTGAGTTTGATTCCAGGGTCCACACTGTGCAAGGAGAGAAGAGATTCCTGACTTCTGACCTCCACCTGCTCACACACACCACTTGCAAATGTAATAAAAAATTTAAAAAAGAAGTATGTTCAAAATAAAAGAGGCTTATAAAAGACAGACAAACATACTAGCCAAGTGTTAATAAAAAGAAAAATAGCTAACAATACTAATTGGAAATAAAGTGGACTTCAAGACAGAAAACATAAAAGACAAAGAAGACTATTTTGTAATATAAATATATTACTTTGATAAATTATTTTTTAAATGTATACAATAGAAAATGATTTTAAAAATCAGTTATATAAATCTGTTTAATGGAAGATTATGAAGTAAGCAAAAATTATTATAGTCTTCATAAACACAAAAGAAAACCATGAAGTGTTGTGAGACAACTCCTGTTGCCATCCTGCTTTGCTGGGTCCCCTAAAAACAAAGGAATGGGGAAAGGACAGAGAGACAAACAGGTACACACACAGGCTGGGCTCAGCTAGGGTTCTCTGTCACTACCCTGAACCCTCACATTTTCAGTGGATACAGCACAGGGTAGTGGGTACAGTTTAGCCAGTCTCAGCAGTATCAGGCTGGAGACATCCAGGAGGAGGAAGCCACAGTTGCTAGTCTTTGCACACATTGATTAATCATCCACACACTGATTAATCATCCATAAACATGCATACTTGGCCTCAAGAAAAGCTTTGCCATTTCCCTTGAGCTTAGCTCACATGGTTAAAGATATTGCCAATTTCCCATGGCCTAAACTGGTCTTGGAGTCCTTCACAGGCTGTCATGTCAAGACACACATCCACTCAATACTTCTTCACTCACTCAGGCCTTCCTCTGCTCCCTAGTTAGTGAACATATAATGAAAATGATAAATAGGATTTTTTAAGGGTTAACAGGATCTACCAAAGTACTATTTGATCCAGGAATTCCCCCTTTAGTATTCTATTCTAGAGACATTCTTATTCATATATACAGAAGAATAAGGCACAAGGATGTTCACTACATCATTAACAGAGAAAATATAAAAGTGCCCTAAGCCTCAACAGAGGAATTTACAGCATACAATCAGTCATGCAGTATAGATGGAGAAAAATGGAAGGAATCCCAAGATATTTTCAAGTGAAAAGAAAATGCAACCAAATTTATAGAATAGTAAGTATCCTATCCCCATACTTCAAAGAAGAACTTGTAGGACCAGTGGGATGGCTTAGATGGTAAAGGCACCTGTTGCCAAACATGATGACCTGAATTTGACCCCTGAGACCACTTAGTGGGAGGAATCAATTCTGGCAAAGCAGTTCTTCTGACAACAAGGACTCCCAATAATTAACTAACTAATTAATTAGTTAAAACATAGGACTGTCATAAAACTAAACTATATATTGCATATATAAAGTAGGACTACAGGGGCTGGAGAGATGGGTTAGTATTTAAGTGCATTGGCTGTTCTTCCAGAGAACCTGGGTTCAATTGCTAGCACTCACATGATGGCTCACAACCTTCTATAATTCCAGTGCTAGGGGGACCTGGCACCCTCTTCTGGCTTCTGAGAACATCAAGCACACATGTGGTGCACATATTCACATGCAGACAAAACACTTACACACATAAAAAGATAAATGAATAAAATTTAAAGAATACAGATGTATGAGTTCTTTATGGGAAAATGTATGAAATGTTGGGTGAAGAGATAAAACTGATTTTGCTCATTATTTACTCTTTTTTCATGGACTCAGAGGAAGACTAAAGAGATGGGTAAAGAAATAAGGGAAGGGGGGAAAAACAAGTCATTCTGTAGAAAGAGAACATTTGAATTCTACTCTCATTTCTGCAACCTACTAGCTGTGTGCTTCTATGCAAGTTACTCAACTATACTTGCCTCAAATTATATAATTACAAAAAGAATTTTTTAAAATAATAAAGATTTAGGGGTTGCAGAGAAGGTTCAGGGGTTAAGAGCCCTTGCTGATTTTGCAATGAGGATCTGGGTTCAGTACCTCCCAGTACCATACTCTCTTCTAGCCTCCTCGGGAACAGGCATGCATGTAGTGCAAATCCATACACGAATTAAAAATGAGAAATTGTTGGGCAGTGGTGATGCACAAGTTTAATCTGGGAGGCAGAGGCAGGTGGATCTCTGAGTTGGAGGCCATCTTGGTCTACAGAGCTAGTTCTAAAACAGCAAATGCCACACAGAGAAACCCTGTCTTAAAAAACCTAAGAGGGATGGGCTTGAGAGATGAATAGCTCAGCAGTTAAGAGCACTGGCTGCTCTTCCAGAGAACCAATGTTCAATTCCCAACACCTGCATATCAGCTCACAACTGTCTACAACTCCAGTTCCAGAGGATCAAGCATTCTCACACACACATACATGAAGGCAAAACACCAATGCCCATAAAAGTAAAAAATGTAAAAACCAAAATGGGGAAAGATGTGAGACATTATCATAATTTCTGAGTTATTAAGGAAATTTCTGCCTTCTTAACCCGTTTCATAATAAGAGCCCAGGCAGGTACCAGATGTTCAATAAAATACCAATAATGATTGTGATCATGACTTCATTTTAGAGCAGTGGCTGTCAACCTTCCTAATGCTGTGACCCTTTAATATAGTTCTTCATGTTGTGGTGAACCCCAAACATAAAATTATTTCATTGCTACTTCATAACTAATTTTGCTAATGTTATGAGTCATAGATATGCAACTCTCAAGGGTTGTCCAACGTCTAAGGGGTTTGCGATTCCAAGGTTGAGAACTACTGTTTTAGAATAATAAATTATTTGTTTATTCATTATGAATTGTTAATTTGCTATGTCTCCGATATCTTGTTTGTCTCAGATGAAGATAAGAATATAGGATAATAAGGTACTGTTATCGGTATAAGCTTCATTTAGTATGATCCATTTAAATATATTTTTTCTTTCAAGTGTGTGAATCATTTCATTTTCTTTACTTTTATAGCAGCTTAAACAATGAGGTATTAAGATTACCTCAGTAAAAGGCTTCCACTAGTGGTAAGTCATTTTTTTTTTTGTTTGTTTGAAAAAAATAACTGAATAAGATGTATTATTTCCAGCAAGAGCAAGATAGAGTCATTACTGAAGAAATCAAGCCCATATATTTCCTTTCTCTGATAAGCCCATCAACATAGTAACTTTCACAGGGGTCACTGGCCACCTCCATTGGTCAGAAGTTCTTGAACACAAGGCGCTTTCTGTCTCTGGCTTTGGCTTGTGCCACTGCTACTTACTGGAAACCCCTCCCTATTGGTTTTATACTGGTAAACGCCTGGTATTTTCCCAGATGAAATCACATGCTGATCCTTCTCAGGCTTCCTCTGCACCTTCTATGCATATCTATCAATTCAGGTGCAGATGTGCATTTCTGTTTTTGTTTCACACTGTATGTGTTCAGGCAGAAATCCCATATATATCTATCTTCTTTAACAGCCCCTCCCCACCACATAAGTGCATACAGCCTGGAAGCTGTGATAGTGTTTTGCGATGGTGTAAGGAAAAATATTTTAAGTAAAATTATTAAATTGTTCTTTATGTATCTTTATATGAGAGACATACTTGCAAAAAGTTGCTTTTCCTTATCTCTGTTGAAGTAATTTTTCCACTCCAAGATCTGTTGACTGTGTAGAATATCCTCTGAACAACCTGGTTCCAAAAGGAAAACAAAAACAATTAAAAGCAGTTCAGATCTCTATAGGCTGTGTTCCATTGGACCCTCCAGCTTGCCCCTGCATGATCTGGAAAGCCCTGTTCCTGTCTCTCTCTCTCTAACCCCACCCTCTCAGAGAATATCCAACAAAGAAAAGGTCCAGTTCCACATCCTACTGCTACTTCCTGGTTACCTCCAGCAGCCCAAACATTCCAGTTTTTGACCACATGAGGGTACAAACCATACTTTGCCTACACCTATACAATCTCTGCTTTAGCTTGGATGTATGGCTTCTCTGGCCTTGTTCTCTAGGACATGAGGACCCACTCAGAGTCGCTTTGCTTAAATAAACCTGTTGTTATACTTTTTCACTTTGGCTTGATCTGGCTTACTGTGGCAGCAGAGAAACCCATTAATGGGAAACAGAAAACTCGGTGCCAAAAACACGGGGGGAGTTGAATCTTCCCATCTGGTGGACCAGTTCCTTAGGCCATGTGTGTGGTTACTCCTGTCTCTTTTTTATCTTTCTCTCCACCAGTGTGACTGACTTTTGACTTCCCAGTCACTGCCTACAGAGGTACTAGGCACCTCTCTCTGTCAAGCCCATCTCTTTTAAGAGCAGAAGCATTCTGTTCTGGGGGACCGCTCTGTTAGCACACAAGCTTCCAAGAGGCTACCCTCACCCCTACTACTTGACCCCAGGCTATCTCAATTAGACACCTCACCCTAGTCATTAGTCTCTGGCACGCTTGGAAATGGGCAACGCTGGGTCTAAATCTGATCCTCAATCACTCCTAGGGTGTCTGCTGCAAAATTTATCCAAATTGGGGCTGTCTCATACCATATGCCCCAAACGCTGGGTTTTCTTTTGCTCTGTGCTGTGTGCAGACAAGCAGTCTGGGCTCCCTTACATGCGGGGCTTTTGGGTTGAGTGCTCTCACTGATCCCTCTGTCGTCAGTTCCCAGTGGCCCAGCTTTGTTGGCTAGGGTGGCCTTGCCTCCAGACCTGTTTCTCTAGGGACTTGGACCCTGAGCCCTCTGTCATGACAGAGCTGCCTAAGTCACTGGCACCCCTTTATCCTGCCTTACCCTACCCTTCCTATACTGGCACATGCTTGACTTAGTGGCCAACCTTCTTCCCTTTATCCACCCCTCCCTCTCCTTCCCCCTCCAGGACAAAGGTCAAAGGCCAGCCTCCTCCCTCTTACCCACCTTCCTCTCTCCCTCTCCCTCCTCTTACTGCCTTTCCTTCTTCCCTTTCCCCTCCTCTTCTACAGTGTTGCAACCCGTGGCCTGGTCCCCATCCACACACTGGCCTACTCCCTTTGAATCCTCCTCAGTGGCTTCTAATACTGCCCTTTTCTGCCCCCTCCAAGAGATAGTTGGAACTGAGGGAATTGTTCGAGGCCACCAAGCAACAGTCCTGGCTACACATTTCATTTCTCAGTCATCACCAGATATTAGAACGAAACTAAAAATGGCTGAAGTAGGTTCCCAAACCCCTGTACAGGAAATGATGAAAATGGCTTTCTTTCTCTTCTTCTTTCTCCTCTTCTTTCCCCTTCCCTCCCCTTTCCTTTTTAGTTTTTCAAGACAAGGTTTCTCTGTGTAGCTCTGGCTGTCCTGAAACTCACTCTGGAGACTGGGCTGGTCTCCAATTCACAGAGATTCATCTGCCTCTGCCTCCAAGTGTTGGGATTAAAGACCTGCACTGGCACCACCCATCTCCTAATGCTTTTTATAAGTCCACAATTACCCTGATACTCAAATCACACAAAGAGCCAACATAGAAAATCATAAATTCCTTATGAATTTAGTTGCAAAGATTCTAAATAAAATATTTGCAAGTTAAATTCAAGAATACATCAAAAAGATTTTCTACCATGATCAAGTTGGCTTCATCCCAGAGATACAGTGATGGTTCAACATAATCCAGATTGAAGTGCAAAAACCACATGATCATCTCATTAGATGCAGAAAAGGCCTTTGAAAAAATGGAGTATTCCTTCATGATAAAAGTCCCGGAGAGACTAGGAATACAAGGAACATACGTAATAAAGGCAAGCCTACAGCCAATACCCACCTAACAGAAACTCAAATAACTTCTACTAAAAATCAAGATCAAGACAAGGATATTCACTGTCTCCATGCCTATTTAATATACTACTTGGAGTCTTAGCTAGAGCAGTGACAACTGGATAAAGTGAATATAAATAGGAAAGAAGTCAATCTTTATTTGCAGATGATGTAATTTTATACATAAAAGATCCCAAAAACTCCACCAGAAAACTTCTACAGCTGATAAACATTTTCAGCAAATTACTGGGATACAAAATTAATACACAAAAATCAGTAGACTTCCTATTTGACAAACAGAATGAGAGAGAGATCAAGTACCTTTTACAATAGCCTAAAAAAAGATCTTGGGATAACTCTAATTAAGTAAGTTAGAGTTATGTAATAAAAACTTTAAGACATTAAAAAATAAGTTGAAGACATCAGAAGATGGGAAGATCTCCCATGCTCATAGAGTGGTAGAATTAATATTGTGAAGATGGCTACCTTACCAAAAGTAATCTACATATTTAGTGCAATCCCCATCAAAATTCCAACAAAATTCTTCATAGAAAACATATTTCTTTATACGGAAACATGAAAAAACCCAGAATAATTAAAACAATCCTGAATAATAAAAGAACTTCTGGAGGTATATACAATCCCAAAATGTACTATAGAGTATAGTAATAAAACCAGCATGGTATTGTCATAAAAACAGAAATATTGGTCAATGGAATTGAATTGAAGACCCAGGCATAAGTCCACATACCTATGGACAACTGGGCTTTTTTTTTTTTTCTTTTTTGTTTTTTACAGACAGGGTTTCTCTGTGGCTTTGGAAGCTATCCTGGAACTAGCTCTTGTAGACCATGTTGGCCTTGAATTCATAGAGATCTGCCTGCCTCTGCTTCCCGAGTGCTGGGTTAAAGGCATGTGCCACCACCACCCAGCATGGACACTTGGTTTAAATACACCCTAGAAAAAGAACAGCATCTTCAACAAATGGTGTGGGTCAAACTGGATGGTTGCATGTAGCAGAATACAAATAAATCCGTATTTATCACCCTGTACAAAACTCAACTTTAAATGGATCAAGGACCTCAATGTAAGACCAGCTACCCCAAATCTGACAGAAGTGATAAGTGGGGAATGGACTTGAACCAACTGGTACAGAAAAGGGCTTTCTGAACAAGATACCAACAACACAGACATTAAGACCAGAGATGATGAAAGGCATCTCATGAAGCTGAAAAGCTTCTGTATGGCAAAGGACATTGTCACTTGGGGAAAGCAGCAGCCAACAGAGTAGGAAAGGACCTTTACCAATTATACATCTGATAGAGGATTGGTATCTAAAATATATATTAAAATATATATATGTTACATTAGTAGCTAAACTATATAAAGAACAACAAGAAAACAACCCAAATACAAAAATGTGTCATAGAACTAAGCAGAAAATTCTCAAAAGATGAAACACAAATTGCCGAGTAACAGTTGAAGAAATGTTTAACATTTCAGCCAGCCATCAGGGAAATGTAAATTAAACTACTTTGAGATCCTATTTTACCCCAGTCAGAATGACCAAGATCAATAAAACACATGGTGACACATGCTGGCAAGGATGTGGGAAAAGGAGAACATCCGTCCATTGCTGATGGGTATGCAAGCTGTTACACCTATGGAACTCTGTGGCAGTTCCTCAGGAAGCTGGGAATAGTTCTATCTCAAGATCCAGCTATACTTGTTTTGGGCACATGTGCAAAAGGACTGATTTGACATTCTACTAAAGAGATACTTCCTCATTCACATTGATTGCTGCTTTATTCATAATAGCCAGAATTTGAAAACAGCCAAGAAGCTTATCAAGTGATGAATGGATAAAAGTGTGTTATATTTACACTATAAAATGCTATTTAACTGTTAGGAAAATTTAAATTATAAAATTCCCAGGTAAATGGATGGAGCTAGGAAAAAAAAAATCATCCTGAGTGAGGCAACCCATATTCAATGAGACAAATATTGTATGTTTTCTCTTCTATGTAGATGTTTGCTTTTAAGCCCTCAGTATGTGTGCTACAATCTGAAAAACCACAAAGGTTAAGTATTGAGTAAAGGACTGATAGGGAGGAGAGGTTCTCCCAAGGAAGGGGAAATATAAATGAAGAAATATGGGGAGGCACAACTAAACCTAAAGGACATTTAAAAACCATGTGGAAACCGACAATTGTAGAAACTTCCATATTTACATTTATATTTATGTGTGTGAGTATACCGACCAACGCACGCACGCACATACCCACCCACCCACATGCTCGAGAGAAATCTAGATGGAGTCACTAAATAATAGGGAATGCAGTGCCTGCCCTAACTAGACATCTTATGTTACCAAGTTAAATAAACCTCCAGTTCCAGAACTGAGTTATTACATCTTGTTGAGTCTTTGGCCCCATGGAAAACCCCAAATATCATAGACTATTGACAAGGGTATTGGTTACTCTCAACAACCTAATGGTAAGCTACATTGCTGAAGGCAATATTTATGTATGTCATTGAACACAGAGAAGTAGAGCTAACTAGAAGCTTCAATCCTACTGGCATTCATGGTTTGGAATGCACTCTGCATGCTATCAGAGGAGAAGGGTAATTATCAATTATTCTCCAGATACAAACCATGGTCATCTGTAACAGAGACCCAACTGCAAGATATACTGTCGCAATAGTGGCACAAATGTTAGGAGAGTGACCAGTCCATTTTTTTTTTTTTTTGAAACAGGGTTTCTCTGTGTAATAGCTCTGGCTGTCCTGGAACTTGCTTTGTAGATCAGGCTAGCCTTGAACTCACAGAAATCCACCCACTTCTGCCTCCCAAGTGCTGGGATTAAAGGCGTGCACCACCACTGCCTGGCAACCAACCACTTTTTAACTGGTCTTAAAG